AATTGAATTTGGTTTAACTTGGAGTGATTTGAAATTGTTTGCGTGTTGTGTGGGAGTTTTGTACACGAGAACAAAGGAAATACCCCACAAGTATAGCTGTGTAAGGATGGGGTGTACGTGCACAGGCAGGAAAATAAGGAGACCTACATGTACTAGCTCAGTTTGAGGCTGCTCACCATAACTGCGGTTTCAAATTTAATTAAAAACTAAGTGCAGCTCCACCCCAGAAATTATTTTGGGTGCGAGTCCTTTAGCGGATTTTCTGGTATGGGGGAGGCATTACATCTATGCACAATACAGTGCAACAACCCCAAAGCAAGTTGAAATTAAATTGCTAATCGTATGAACTCCGAGTGGAACCAAGAGAGTGGGTGTAATTTTCCTAGCAACGGAGGCTCCTTTAGTGGGAAATACACATTGCTGGTTCACAAATGGTGATGAAACACACACGTCAAGGCCGGGTTGCTACCAACAAAATGAACTTTCCCCACCAAAATGGCTCTTTTCAATCAATGAGGGCCAGCCTTCTGCTCAAAACAGAGAAGAGCCAGGCTTTTTCGGACCATCTTACAGCATGGGGAGGGGGGACAGTCTGTATGATTTTCAAAATTTGTGTCAAAATTACCCTAAGATACCGGGAGGCCCATTACTGACAAAACCTTGATGGCTCAGCACATGTAAACAAAACAGTCTCTGAGAAAATATGGGGAGGGGGGCAGTCCATCTTCCCTCCCCCCCTCCCAAGAGAAATCAAACATAGGCGGGGGAGGGTGAGAATAGCCTGGAGTGACTGAGTCTCACACTCGATGCACGGCGGTTAGCAGCCCAGCAGTGATAAAAGAAATTATGTCCTACCGACTGGTACCGAAAACATGATATTCTTACTAACATTACCATAGGCTTGCTGCAAGTTCTTGAGCAAAATGTTATCAACAACTGGACTATTGACAACTGTAGCCGTTGGAAATTGTATTTTTAGACCTACTCTTAGTGTTAGAATATACAAAGGTAAATACATTTGTGTGAAATGTAAATCACGGGGGTTCCGAGGGGTTGATAAAATTCCTAGTGACAGTTTGAATTTGAAGTTACGGGTGTGTTTCATATAAAAATAGTGGTAAATACTGCTACAAAAATCCTACCCAAAGTTGATCATTTCAGTGCAGTTTTGTTGGTGCTTAGCCTCTTTTGGGCAAACATTGAATAGTGCTCCATCAATAACATACATGTACCCTGATATTTCAAACCAATTTTGTTTGCTATGCATTATGTGTCGGCAATAACACTTCTATAAGCAAACCCATTTGTCATACATACTGGTACATGCAGCTTTTAGTTTTACACCTAGGTGTATTCGTCTGTCTTGGTTTGAAAAGTAATTACGCCAGCCACACCAGTTGCTGCTTCTAGTACAATCAAGGTTACAAGTATCATCCTGAGAGGTGTGACAAATGCGTCTGTGCAAATATCCCCGCCATGAATAAATTATCTGCTTGAGCTAGGGCCGTGTAATTGACATGTTAATTAACCATCGCAGCAGGGTGATGACTGATGGCTGATTTCTGAACCATTCTTCTGGTTTCTGGCAGATTTCATTCTTGAAAAAGAAACAGATCTGAAAGATGACAGCCATGCAAAGCCTCCATGATGGATATGAACAGAGCTAGAGCTACTCATCACTTGTGGATGAAGGCACTTCAAATGCCATCATTACCTGAAAGGCCCCCGTTAAGGAGACTGGTATGGAAGAAAAGCACCGTACGTGTACTCAAGTGTCAATGCAAATTCAAAGGGTACTAGCTGTTACCAATTGCCAGGCGTATAGTCATTCCTGGATTCCCCTGAGTTCCTGGGTCCAGCACGACACACAAACATATTGGCTGATTCTAGAAAACAATTAGAAATGCAAGTCCTCTCCGATAGGTTAGCTAGCTTTGCCACTGATCGGGATTCACCTTACACAAAATGAAAAGAGTACAATTACAGCCTCCATAACGCAAGCCATGGATTTCTTGCATTTGACGTCAACTACAAGATCACCTCTCCTATAACAATGACACTACAGCAATATGGCTAGAAACATGTTGGACATACATGTAGATGTATGTGGAACACGCAATATCGCTGTAATAATCCACACCCTTCAATTCTTTCAAGAAATAATAGTACAGGTTACAACTTTAACCGTGATAATTGCAAATTTGTTCTGAGTAAAACTAAACCTTGGTTGTACTGATCTCAGTGCACTTGGCTGTATCATGTGTATAACATGCATTCCCCTACGGTTGTTTCGAACACTCAAGTGCTGTGATGGTTGATTGTGCTTTGAGTAACATTAAAACAACATGTACAGGTACCCCGGTACATGTACATGTATTTCAAGAATAGATTTAAAGTTCTGCATTAATTAACCTTACCAGTCATCAATCCTCTGATTCCAACATGATTTGGCATGTAAAATTAATGAGATTAGTGACTTTCTGGGGACTTTTCCATTTGATTTGATTTCTGTCCAAGAAAACCTAATTTTTATGTGATCAAAAATGCCACCAGATGGTCATGCTTCCATTGCAATGTGGCAGTGTGCATAACAACTCCACCAGGCATGTACATGTATTGATTTGGGGTCTAGGTAAGTTAAGTCATGAGTCATCAACTGTGGACTGGCTCCTTAGCCAGTGTATAGTACATACATGTACATGTACATCTGTGCAATGGCACATGGGTGTTGGGGTAGGAGGGGCAAGAGGGTTGCTGGCCCCTGCCAGCCTGACCCACTTCCCCTCAAGAAAATGGGACAATTGAGGAACAAATGAAAGATAAAGACAGAAAGCAGATGAAAATCACTACTTTGCTGGAAATTGTCGGTTTGTCGATTGTTGATACTATGCTTTGTCTCCCTCCTCTATCTCCAAAGACCTTTGCACTGCCCCCCTTCCTGGCAAGGTCCATACAATGGCATATACACATGTACATGTATCCTTTTTGCATTTATCCTATTTTGAGTCCACACCATCTCCAACAGTACAATTTTGAGTTAGAACACTGCTCCGTTTCAGAGCACAGCACTTAAAATCGAATTCCCGACAGATCTTTCCCTCATCAAAGGAGGAGGGGCGAGGCCTACTGGTCCACAAGCCAGTATAAACCACATATGGAAATGCTGTAGTAGGAGCTGCCATCAACAACGTAAATAAATGTAAATCCTGAACATCAATCAGAAAAATATTCTTAAATTCTATTGATGTGATTTCAAAAAAGAACCGGACTATTGCATGAGTACATGTGTACATTTTTACACTGTTTCAGATAACCAAATGATACATGATTCATTAATTATTCAAATATATGCGTATCTTATTATTTGAAAATTTTAAAATGAAATGTAAATAAAGAAAACCGAGAAAAGACCAAGGTCTTGACTTGCACTGTACATGTATGTAGTTACCAGCCACACTCTCTTTTAAAATCCACGATATCAACATGACTACATTCAGCATGTTTATGTGTTAGAGGGAAATTTGACAAACCCAGTGTTACAGGTGTCCTGTTTAAACAACCATCCAGCACTCAAGGCCTTCTCTGCATAAATGTCATTTCCACTATCCCCAATCCATGTAACCTAGCCCAGGACATGCCACAGTCCTTGGTCAGTGTCCCCTCGGGTCTGGTCATAACCTCCTTGAATTCTCACTAAACTAACCAGGATCTTCCTTGAAAATGATGGGTAAGGACATCACTAATTTTCCCTCCCAGTACACCTACAGAAGCCATCAGAAGGGATGCACATGTACATGTATGTCCTAAAGAGTCAAATTTAGCAGTGAAAATACTAAAGCATTTACATGTACTTTGCAAACAGGACTTTTAGACCAGTCTCACAGAGTTTGTGCCGTGGGTGTCAAATGATGTCTGGATATGGAACTCTTTCCTAAGTGACTTCTTGGAGTAAAACTAAGTCTCCCAAGTAGCCAAACGATCTGTGCGTGTGTGTCTCTCTCTCTTGCTCACTGTCCATCTGTGCCTTCGTCTGCATATCTTCCATGGGCTGCAGCTACTGGTAACATCAGTCATGCCAGTTATTTTGTATCAGTGTTACACATGTACATCGTGTATGAAAACGTCAAAATAAAATACCATCTTGCATGTAACTAAAGTTAACAAGTAAAGGAAAAATATATCTAAGGCATTGACTTAGAACAAATCTTGAAACTTGAGGTAGGAATCAATTGGTGAAAACTCCAACTCTTAATCAGACTGGTTATACGTATGTATGTATGTATATATGAAAAACAAAGCCTAAAGCTTGACCAAGAGACAATTCATATCTCTATCTTCTGATGAATTCAACGCACATCAGAATCTATAGAATATACACGAAACTCAGTTAAAAAAAAATCATAGTCATCGGAAAAACATTACAAAAGCATCAGTCCAAACTGTAGGGCTAGTCAGTTTATCACTTACAGTTACACCATGGATATGATGGGTGATATGTCCGGACTTACACATAACTTAAGCACAACTTATTCCCAGCCTCCACTAAGTTCAAAGTGATTAAAAAGTACACGCAAACCACCTCAAATAATTCATTAACACATGTCTTAAGCTAAATGTAAAAGCAAAGCTTTCCGAGGAAACGTCTCTTTTGGATCTAGTCTCAGAACATTACTGGCTAGTGGAAATTACGAGATAAATGTACCAAAACCTTCAACATCATAAATTTGCTTGGACTTCTCAAAATATCCTTAAGTCCAGACTTCATACAATCGATCAGTACACTTCTTTTCACAATTTAGTTTACAACGAGAGTCACAGTGACAAATGCAATGACTAAACAAGCAAGACTGACTACAGAGGTGTGTGCTATTTTTACAGAGTAATGACCTACTCTTCAGGTCATGACAAGTGGTAAAAGTTTTGGATGTAAAACTTTAGGAAGAAAAAGATGGATGAGACTGAGAGTCTGAGGATATGGAAAGAAGTCACTCCCCACTTACCATCTTCCGGCTCACCGCTCCCTGATGCTGTTTCCTCGTACTCGGTATAATTCACATTCAACACATAATGACAGAAAATCCACAATCCGCTGTTGCGTATCAACATTCTAGGCGGCGGCTGAGACAATATCGTGTCGTTGCTCACGAAGTAAGTCCTCACCGGCCCGCTGTATGTTGCTCTAGTCCAGAACGGTGTACCAATGGATACGGCATTCAAAATCAGCCCGACAAAGCCGACAAAGAGGGCCAGGAGCATGGTGGAAGTTTTGGCGAAAGGCATCGTGGAGTGTTACTGTCGATGAGTTGGTCCTGGAGAATTTACATGTAGTGTACCACACTCGGGAGAGAGAAATACCAAGTCCTGTGAAGCACAGCCTGACCGCCGTGGGCTACGCGTTCGTTGCCGTGGACTCCCCGGTGGCTGACGAGTGACGGCACGATCGGCGAGGATTTACAGGTGCTATTTGCGTCGTCGGCTTTTACGTCGTCACTTAAGGAGGGGGGACAACGGCAACACTGATGGCAAATACAGCAGATGTGAATAAGAAAGGTCCAACGGTTCGCTGCACCTGGCCTTGAATTACTTGGGTCGTGAGTAAAGTTTGATGACAGTCCCCGTGTCAAATTACTTCAAACCGACCCATTGTGTCCTTGTTCGTGACGGTATGTACTGTACATGTACGTACATGTACACGCACGGTACGGTGTGTGTTGTATGTATGGCATGGTCAGAGTATGACCATACATACACTTGGCAGTGTTTGCATACCATAACATACACCTGTTGACATGAGAGCGCGCCCTCAGCACTCTTTCCGTCCATCAGTCCGACGGCGACATCAGTGAACATGGAGGAGGCACTAGGTGGCCATAACTAACAAGTCAATAATGAAAATGCGACAACTGTAAGATGCAGGCAGTGATGCCATTTGCGAAGTTGAGAGGGAAGGAGGGAAACAACTTTTTTTTCATCCCAATTTGTTCACAGATATCAATGACGCAAATATGGTGGGCAATGTGACGGGACGAAAGGCCAAGGCGGTGGTAACTTGAGAGCAACCTCAGACGAAAATTGACAAGCATGTTATTTTGTTTATTTTTCACTTTGAAAAAGAAAGCCTAAAATCGAAAGAGAATTGTAATCAGAGAATTGACCTGTTTCTGTTTATTTCATATTTGTCGTTTCAAATGGAAAAACGAGGAATGACTTGTTTTGCATGACGCAAACGAATTGTTTTGTTTTGTTTTGTTTTTAATCAGAAACAGGTCTTTCTAGTTTTACATTTAAAAAACCAAAAACAAATTCACTCTGTGTTTCGTTTTTCAGTATGAAAACGAATAACATGGTAATTAATCAATATGCTTTTCGAAGGATAAAAAACTGTTTCATTTTTCATTGTGTAACGTAAGACACGTCTTTATGCAAAATTGCAGTCGGCTAAATTAGATGAATTAAACATGGCTGAAGATTATTTTTCTCATATTCCAACAAACAACGTCTGTCTAAGGAAATATAGTGGCGACACTATCCACAAATATTATGCGTGTATAAATTACTGAACAGTTCTTCGTTTTCCTGTCTTAATAATCCCAGATTTTGCACAATCATCTTTATTACACTGACTTGTCGCAGTTTAATAGACGTGCGGTATACTGCACCTGCTAGACTTGACAGGTCCGTGTATACATTCCGTCCAATCAATTACCGTTTGAAAATTGTTTAGAAGAAAAACAAAAATGAACCTGTTTTTGTTTACAGTTTTTACTACATGAAAGGAAAAACTGAGCCTTTACCGTTATTCTTTTTTGAATCCAAACAAGGAAAAAAGGAAAAGCTGCACTTTTACCGTTTTCTGTTTTGATTTCACTGAAACATAAAAAGGAATATTTTACTGTTTACCGATTTTTTATCTGAAAACGGGAAAAAGCTATCTTTCCATTTACAGTATTAAAGCTGCGAAAAAGAAAAAGAAATCATTTCTGTTTACTATTATATAATTAAAAAAAAATATAAACCAGTTACTGTTTCCTTTTATAATCTAAAAGACAGAAGTAAAAAAAATCTTTGAGGTTTATTGTTCTTTAATCTGAATTAAAAAATAAATAAATAAAAAGCGCAAACATTTCTCGTGACCTCGGCTGCGGTCGGGATTGTTGAGCTTAAACCGGTGAAGAGTTTCGTTTTTCCTTTTCCTATTTTACCCCTTTTTCTTTTTTCGTCTCGGCAGAAACTTTTGACTCAGTTTTCATAGGTTGGTATTGGCATTGAGAAATAAATTTTTTAGATAAAAAAGAAACTGTAATTGGTTGATTTTTCTTTTTTTATTTATAGATTATAAAACGGTAAATGGTAATTATTTCTTCTTCTTTTTTCAGCTTTAAAAAAGGTAAATGGAAAAGATAGCTTTTTCTGTTTTCAAATGAAACATCGGTAAACAGTAATTTTCGTGTTTTTTTTTTTTTTTTTGGTTTTTTTTCAATGGATTAAAAACAGAAAACAGTACAGCTGTACAGCTTTTCCCCTTTGCGATTTTCAATAATAATTGATGGGACGGTATATATGCAGACCTGGTGGTCTTGATGGGTGCAGACCACTAATTCAAGTGAGAGTTTCTGGCCAGCTCATTAGCTTTAAGGGTCCCCAACAGTATCTTTTGAAAAAGGAGATTGTTTGGCCCCCAAAATGGTGAGATTGTGTAAATCCTTGCCAGGATCAACTCCCTGGGTCTTTGAGCTTTCATATGAGAGCAGAATGGCTAAAAATTACGGTTTAAAAATGGTCCTAACTGCCCGAGAAAGTTGAGGGTTGCCACTTGAAAAACGGCTGCAATCAGACNGCAGAGCTTGCAAGAAATAGAACTAAAAACTGTGCTGCATGCTGTCTGAGGGGCCCTACCCAGCCGTGTGGCGTATTGTTACGGGATTTTGGGGGGGGGGGGGCGTTGACACCATATGACTCTATGTAGACGTGGATGTTCAGGCACAATTGCAACTGCACTTCAACTATGTTGAGTAAACTCGCAGTGCTTTCCAGAACCAGACATACTCATGAGAGAGATTTCCTTCGCATGGTGCTATGGCAAACCTTCCAACTCATTGCTGCACTTAAACTATGCAGCTGGAGTAATCCAGCCCTAAATCTCCTGACATCTGAAAATTTGTCTCTTTCCTCAAATGTCATGAGCAGTAGGGGTAGAGTTAACAAGGCCTGTGAGTTAATGCACAGGACTGTTGGCCGCAATCTTACGATTTGTGTGATCGCCCAAACTTCGCACAGTTTGTCGATAATTCCACCATTAACCAATCACCTGCAGGGTACCGGTATGTTTTTCTGATTCACGATTTGGATAGATTGTTTCAAAACGGGAAGTAAAGCTGGAGATTTCATGCAGAATTGACCAATTGCGCAGAGCTGTTGTCTAACTTAACTATACCATGGGCTCATCATCAATCTTGTCAAGCAGCCTCTCTGCTTAGTGAGGCAAAATGACAAGCCTCGGAGTTTAAAGGATATGCCTCACTCAAACCTGCATTTGTAGCTCCATGGTTGGAATCAGCCAGATCATTCGAATCTCATCCATCAAGACTGTTCCAATCCTGTGTGGGTCTCCCTAACTCTAATTTTATTTGCTGGGAACTTGATAAAGGGAAATCTGGCAAGCGGTATTTGTATGTGACATTGTTAACAACAGAAGAAAATGATTATCATTTCCTGCCTTTTAACAATGTCAGCGGCTAATTTTGGTCTTTATTGGTGAAGGTTGTCTAGGTTAAATGCTGAGTTAGTGGAAATGTTGTACTTAGTCTCTACTTTTACTTTGTATAAATACAGGGGAAAAGCTGGGATGAAGCCTGTGAAAGAAAGCAAAAAATATCGAGCAGGCTCCAAACTCCAGACAGAAACCTCAAAGGCTAAGGAAGAAGAATTCTCATTTCTGCCACCCAAGACTAAAATTGGCACCACCAAAAAGAAATCCACCAAGACAGAATCTGGTGTAGAAATACCTTCCAACAAGGGTGATATCAGAGAGTCAGGAGACAGGAGAAGAGTGAAATCTTCCAAATGTGGTGCCAAACTGTCTCAACCTCAAGATGAGTCGGTCAAAGATTCAGCAAGGGTAAGAAAGAGGGCACGGCTTACCAAGAAAGGTAAGACAGCCAGCAGAGCTGAAGAGGAGCAGTTGGCTGAAAAACTTGTTCAGACGAAGGGCCAGGAAGAGCAGGTATCTGTCAAGAGAGCAACAAAGAGGAAAGCGGCAGTTCCGTCAGATAACGAGGTCAGAAAGAGGAAAGTCTCAAAGAAAAAGACCTCCGAAACTGAACTAGAAACAGAGAAAAAAGGAGAAGCTGTGCCTGTCGAGAGAAGTGGCGATTCAGATGGGAGCAAAAAGAAAGTTCGAAAACTCAAAGAGACAAAGGAAACTGTAGATGTTAAAACTGAATGCGGTACCCGACCAAAGAGAAGAAAGACACTGGATGTGGAGGCAGCCGGTGATCGAGAGAAAAAGCAGAAGCTGAGCCCTCGGCCCAAGACAAGGGCCAAGAAGGTTGTAGAGAAGCTGCCAACAAAAAAGGCTGGGACAGAGAGGGGTGGGGTTGGGAAAGGTGGGGCCAAGCAGGGCGTGGCAAAAGAAAGAGCAGTGGAAGAGGTAGCAGTTGGCAAGGAGGCGGTGAATGGTGACACTGAAGACAAGGCAGTCTCAGAGATGGCCAGAGAGGTGGTATCCAAGGCAACAAAGTTTGTTGGAGCGCACATGAGCATTTCAGGTACATTTTTCATTTGGAAAAGTTTGTCTTGATTTGGAAAAAGGAAATTTTGGCTTTCAACTTTGCCAAGTAGAAGTTTCAGATTCCTTTTTGTTGCATCAACAGGAGGTCTTGACAATGCCGTCAAGGGTGCTGTGGCGACGGGCTCCAGAGCCTTTGCCCTGTTCCTGCGCTCCCAGCGGCAGTGGAACGCCAAGCCCCTGGAGGAGGAACCGGCCGAGAAGTTCCGCCAGGCCTGCCGAGAGCACAACTTTCTGCCTCACCTGATCCTCCCCCACGGCTCCTACCTGCTGAACTGCGGTTCCCCCAACGAGGAGACGCTGCGCAAGTCCCGCGAGACCCTGGCTGATGAGCTGAATCGCTGCGAGAAGCTGGGCCTGACCAGGTACAACTTCCATCCTGGTGAGTGGCGCATGTTCACATGGAGATGTGATTCTTCAATAATCTTCAGATTTAGTTCATCATATTCTGTTTTGCCTCAGTTTATGTGTACAAACAAAAACAAACCAAAGTAAACACAAATCCCCAACATAAATGGATGAATAGTTAGAAATCAAAATAAATGGCTTGCCTTTCTCGGTATTCATAGTTTTAAATTGCCTATAACTCTGTGAAGCTGTCTGGTGACACAGCTTGATGGGAGGGCAGCACCCAAAGAGATCAGGTAGATATTCATTCAGGCCCCTCATCAATCCATAGAGTTGCAGATTAGTTACTCTTAACCCTGCCTTGCCTGGTCATTGTTTCTGCATTTGTACTTTAACCTCGGGTGTTCACCTGTTGCAGGATCCACGTGTGGACAGATGACAGTGGAGGAATGCCTGGACAAGATTGGTGAAACCATCAACATAGTGCACCAACAAACAAACAAAGTCATGACAGGTGAGTTACTCACTATAAATGATTGAGTCCAATTCGCTGGCACAGTTATGCTCTCCCATCATTTGACTCACCCCCTCATCTTGCCCCTTCTCATTCCCATGTCCAAAGCAAACCCAAGCTTTCATAGTGGCCGTCAAATGGAGGCACCAGCCTCCACATGAGCTGATGGTGTCACTGCCCAATGAAGCTAACTGCCAAGATCTCAGCAGTTAGGGAGTACTGAAGTGAATGGACGCAAAAGGAATTAGCAGGAGAACCAATACATGATCCAGCACATGCACATATTCCAAACATTTACAGAACACTTCCTGGTTCAACATGACGTCACACTTCATTACTCTATAAGGCTTTATTGCCGTAGCGGGGAATAGTAGTTAGACCCCATAGAATCTAACAATATCAAATTGTGAATTTTTTTAATCTGGTTTAGTTAAGAGTTTTGCCTTTGTTTTGTTTCTGTAGTGATTGAAAACATGAGTCGGCAAGGGAGCACCATCGGAGGGAGGTTTGAGGAGCTGGGTGGTATTATTGAGAGAGTGAAGGACAAGACAAGGATTGGTGTCTGCCTGGACACCTGCCACGCATTTGCAGCAGGTACCGTTAGGAAAATGTTGTACAGAGGCACGCACATGGCCGAGCAATACCAAGTCTCTGCTCAGTAACTCCATTTGCAGTGCCCTCTGCCTAGAGATAGTGTACTTCTCAGTCTCCTGATGACCGAGTGAAAGGTGGACTCCACTGGTTCTGAGAATCTGACTGACTCACAAAGAGATGCACATGGTGCTCAGCTGCAGACCTTTGTTGCATTGACAGCAGACGCTCCTGCTCTTACCATTACGCCGTGCCATTTTTGGTTTGCAGCCTATTAATAAGAAAATTCTGTGAGTGAACTTGAATACATCTGAACCGTGGGCGATTTCTCTCTCTGATGAACAAAAGCGGAAAGTGTCTGTTCAGAAACTGGCTGTTTCAGAGTGACTTTTGTCAGAAACCCATTTCATGTAGAAATTGAATTCATTCAGTACAAGCTACATCTTTTACACTGACATGTATCCGACAACCCGCACCCAGTGACTCAGCTGGAGGGGGTGATGCCTGTGCTGACTCCCACATACTATTGGGACTCATATTTGCACTTTGAAAACTTGCGTGTGCCTCACCCGTAGGTTTTGACCTGTCCACTGAAGCTGGGTACCAGCAGATGATGGAGGACTTTGATCAAATCGTCGGGCTGAAGTACCTGGTGGCAGTGCATCTCAATGACTCAAAAGGTATACGTCGCTTCACCGGTACTCCTTAACTTGATGTGCAGTCTTCAAATAGCCGTGGTCTGTTTGAGCATCAGACTCCTTGTCAGGGATTCTTGCTCAGTAAATCGAAGAGAGAGAATAGGTGGGATTGTTGAAGATTCCCTCCTTAAAATTCAAAACTAGCTTGAGGTGTGTCATAGGCTTAAGAGTCAAACTAAATCTGGGTTTGTAATATCTTGTTGAAGTGAGAATGTTGCCTTGGGTTGTTTTTGAGTGCTTATAATCTCTCTGACAATCCACACCTATAATGTTGATGCTTATGAAGCACCATTGCCAAACTTGCTAAAACACACACTTGACAATGACAGCCAAGGGTGTACAGTATCTACAAACCTATCAGGCGTATAGCCACTGGTCTTCTTCCCCCTTCGATCTTTTGATTGGCAGGTAAAGTTGGCAGCCATCTGGACAGACATGAGAAGATTGGCCAAGGTCAGATCGGTCTGAAGGCATTCCAGCGACTGATGAACGATCCGCGTTTTGATAACATCCCTCTGATACTAGAGACTCCAGTCGAGTAAGAACTCACTCCAGATCTCATTTTTATTCAGTGGGAGAGTGAAATTGACAATCCATATACTCTGTAGGCAGTGAGAAGGCTGCCCTCATTAGTTTCTTGTTCACAGACCAGGGGCCCGTAGTCGGACCACATGACGATCAGGTCTGATTTCTTTCTGCATCAGTTTTGTATGTAATGGTTGAATACGACCCGTGTTGCCATTTGCTATTGGCCAGGTATCTGTTTTTTGGAATACTGTAAATCTTTTATGAAAAGCTACTCCAAAGGTTTGAAATCGATGGCATATATATCCTCTCAAAATGTTAACTTTGGCTTGACCATTAACCACTTCCTGCCGGGCCATTTATCCATGTTGAGTCTGCTGGGCCAGGTGATTTTTAATTTTTTTTCTGTTTTCAAATTCTTTAAAAATTCATAACTTCATTTAGTAGACATTATACACCCCTACAAATGACTCTCTGGTAGCTACTCTAATCTGACAGACAACATCTATTGATGCCCGAGTATTTCAGCTAGGCCAGCCGCCTTGTAAAAAGAGCCCAGATTGTGCGGTGTTATGTAATTTTCTTTTGTTCCCGAAACCGGCACAGTGTGCCGCTGACGTCTTTTCAATAGGGGCCAGATTAGTGTGTGGCGGTATTGAATCGCTCATCACTGGAGTGCTGGAGGGCTTTTGTCCCGGTGGTAATCCGCTCACGCTGAATGCCACAAACAGTGGTATAAGCTTTCAAAACGATGACAAATGTTGGCAATTCCCAGCAGCCTGGTCTTTTGTTCCGAGTACAGTCTTTAATAATGGTAACGATAAGTTAATCAAACGTACATATATCCTTTTTGATAGGCATTTTTATGAGACCCATTTCCAAATGTTGTTTTTTTCACTTTTGATTTGAAAAAAAAATGCTCATACCTTTTTTGAAACATCTTGACCAACCCCCATTATCTTGTCTTAGAAGATGACTTCTGCCAGACCTGATTGAATCTAACAAGTTTTCCTCTGTTTCAATGTTTTATTTTTTCAGGGATGGTATGGATTACGCCAAGGAGATCAAACTGCTGCACTCACTGGTTGGGAAATCATAAAACAGTGTGCCCTAATAGATCTTGAGAGTACTGTCTAGAATGATCTGGTATAAAGATTTACTTAGAGTGGTTAGAAAAATCTCTAACGCACAAATAAGCAGTAGGAAAAACTTGATGAATGCACGGGTAGGCACAAAGAATTGCCCGCTGAATTCTGTGAAACCAAATAAGTTTTTTGAGATAAGTTGCAACAAACAAATTATGTTAACATTTCAATGCCCTCAAGTTACATTTCTTCTGGCAGACAATTTAGAATAAGATGTAACTGCAGGGATTCTGCTTGGAAGGACAAATCCTCATCAAATTCATATCGTTCTTAAGAAAAAACAAATATATCATGTGTTGATTAAAGTTTGTTTGTTGGGGGTGTTGGGGTGTTTGTTTGTTTGTTTGTTTGTTTGTTTTGGCCTATGGTAAACAGATGAAAACAGTGGCCTGAAATTATGCCTGCTGGTGTTGTGAGGCCACTATAAATACGTTTGTGCGGAACTGTAGTTTTTCTTTATTCCTGATGTATAAGCCAAGATAGTTTTCTACCTTTGTTTTCATAAATCCACCCTCAACTTTTGTACCTTTGTATTCTTAAATAGCTTTCATAACAAAGCAAAGATCTTGTTCCCAAATTTCAGGGCATTTTCATATTCTCCATAAAAGGAACAGTTAGATAAAACTTGAAAAAACATTCAACATTTGCTGGTTACGACTTTGAAGCGCCCCATGTAAAAAGTTCAATAACACCAATTGTTAAATAATGAAAAACCTAATTCTTTTTCATTCGTCATTTGTTTGTTTATTGTCAAGTAATATCTGCTTCTGGTAAGCCAAAACGTGATGAAATATTTACAATAAAATACATGTACAATCCCTTGGATTTAAAAAATGACCAATACTAAATAGGATGGAATCACGCCAACAGCAAGTAATGAAGTAAGTCTTCGCTGTGGTCTGGAATGAGTTTGTAGAAACAGTGGGGGAAATGAATTAAATTGGATGGAATAACGTAGACAGCAATAAATGAGCTTTAGCCTTGACAGAATTTGTGGAGACAAGGATTCACTCACAATATGCAGAGAGGCTGCCCCAGGGGCAGGGATTTTGCCCCTCAGGGATTAACAATCTGTGCATCTTAGATGGAGCAAATCCTGGGAAGGAGGATAACATCTAGGTGTGCAATTCAATAAAACTGCCAAAGAACGAGCACATCCCTACACCACTCGTGCCATGTCATGTTGGGTATTATAAGTTCAGGTTGACACAGGCTTGGAGAATTTCAGGCCTTGATTCAGGCCTTGATTCAGGCCTTGATTCAGGCCTTGATTCAGGCCTTGATTCAGGCCTTGATTCAGGCCTTGATTCAGGCCTTGATTCAGGCCTCGATTCAGGCCTCGATTCAGGCCTTGATTCAGGCCTCGATTCAGGCCTCGATTCAGGCCTTGATTCATTCGCCACTGTCCTGTCACAGCTCCCCCTCATCCAGCATCTCGAATGCCTTGAGTACCTTATGCTGCCTGGTGGTGTGCAACCTCTTCAGGTCAGCTGCGTATTGCTGCTCTCGCAGCAATTCCTTGCGCTGCTCTTCCAGCTGGGCCTTGTGCTCGTTCAGAGCCCGCGACTTCTGGATCAACTTCAGGAGTTCCTGCCGGAGCTCCCTGTTCTCGGACTTGATGCGGGTGGTGTGCTCCTGAAGACAGTGCATTGCCTCCTGGAACGACGTGACAAATGGATAATCCAACGAGTCAAGGTAATGGGCTTTTCTTCGAGTAAGTAAGGTTCTGTAAAGGACCGGTGTGTTAACTCAATATTTTGGACTCTATGCTCTGTCATAAGGAGAAAGATGGCATTCCAATGAGGAGGAAACTTCAGTTGAAGAAGGGAAGCAGTGAAGCACAACCACAATCATGTGGTAAAGATTCTCCATCAATGTAGATTCAGTGGATGCAACTGGAAAAGTTGATATCTTTTAGGGGTAAGTGAGGAAACTTGAATGAGTATGAGACCATCTCTCTGAGGGGCTTAATTACTATTTTTCAAAACAAAAAACCTAAAACATGCAGAGATAGCAGATATTTACACTCTATCAGTCGAAAGTAAAGAAGCTACAAGATTAAACTGCAGGGAAAGCATTCTCCTTGAATAAGAATATTCCTTCAACAATACGGTCGTGTGAATGACATGGTTTACATGACCAGCGTCTAGAACAGCAGGCAAAAGTGCAGGAAACAGTCTAGCAAGACAACCCACACTTTGTTAGCTTCCAAACTACGCTCCTGCATCCACGGTATCCTGGTATCTCCTCAACTGCCATGGCAACACATTTCCTTACCCTGTTTGCCTGCTTGCCAACCTCCTGTATCTTGGCCTCCGACTCCCCCTGGTACTCTCTCTTCTCCTTCAGGAACTGAGACTTCAGCTTCTGTATTGTCTCTGTATGCTTGCCTCGCATCCTTAAGACCTCCTTCTCCAGGTCTCGTATCCGCCGCACTTGCTCCTCTTGCAATCGCTGTCAGGGGTGAAGGAAAGAAGTCTAGCTAGTCGTGCCGTTGATCATTTCACAGATAATCATACAATAATTTTGTAAGCCCACATAGCCTCAGCTGGATAACTTGTCAAAGGAAATGCTCTTCAAATTGACACAACTTTTATCTCCGTTTGCTCTCACCTTATACTCCTCTAGGTCATCCAGCTCCTTCCTTGTTTTAGCAAGCTCCGCCTCCTTCTCCATTAGTGAATCCCTTAGAACTGGTGGCATGAAGAAAAAGACAATCAATTTACCCACCTGCTGCCGGGGGACCCGTTTTCGAGCACGTAGGCTTTATACACGGAGCCGGGGAACATGAAATGGGACAAAGGGAACTGGGCCTTGTAACAAAAGACCGTACTCGGAACAAAAGACCAGGCTGCTGGGCATTACCGACATTTTTTCACTCTCAATAGTGGACATAATCCAGCCTTGTTTTGAAACAGTATACCACGGTTTGGGGCATTTAGGTCGAGTGGATTACCAACGGGGACTAAAGCACTCCACCACCGCAGTGATGAGTCACACAGCACCGCTGCACGCTGATCTGGCCCCTATTGAAAAGAGGTCAGCAGTGCACTGTGCCAGGTTCATGAACAAAAGAAAGTTATATAATAACACCGCACAATCTGGGCTCTTTTTACAAGGCTGCAGGCCTGGCTGAAATACTTGGGCGTCAATAGAGTTTGTCTGTCAGACTAGAGTGGCCACCAGACAGTAATTCGTGTGGGTGTAAATGTTCATTGATTGAAATGATGAATTTTTGAATAATTTTGAAAAATGAAAATCTTAGAAAAGTCCCGATTATGTGCACTGCATTTTTCAAACCACCTGGCAGCAAGTGGTTAATAGTATTCTGAAATCGAAAGCTTGAAAGTACCCTGGTCTTTTGGTCATTTGCCTTCAAGGGAGATGAGAGGTTAAGGAGGGTCAGTCCTCCATTGAACATGTTGTGTACTTTTTGTTATCCCACAACCAGACATATTTATGTTTCTCTAAATGCCTCAAGAAATCTCGCTCCCTCTGTCACCTGGTGTCTCCTGACGCCTGCTGAGGAGTCTATTTCTTAGAGCAGCAGGCCATTGTTGGAAACAGTCTTGCAGGGCCACACTACGATTGTGTGCAAGTGCTCACATACTTTTTGGTAAAGACCTAGACTCAGCTCCAGACACCAGATTCGGATACGGCTGCAGAATTGCCCGAGAGGGCTTACCCGGAGTAAATTGCCTTTTAGCCATTCCAGAAGCCACGTGGCTTATTTTTGGACTGAGCGACAACGGGTCATACATTCACCTCTCTTCTTTTCTTCGTACTCCTCTAGCATTTGTTCTTTCTGCTCGTTGATCATGCGGATTTCTTGCTGGTTCTGATCGCTCAAGGTCACGATGGTCGTTTGGCGTTTGTGGGCCTTCTTGGACATATAAGACATGTATTCATGCTGCCAAAGAAAAAAGGACATACAAAGAAGGAATAAATGAAATTGTGTGCTTGTGTATTTTCAAAATTTATAATTGTGCATTTCTCAATTTTGTATAAGAAGAACAGGCAAAACAGCTGAAGTGAAACAGTTTAATGGATGTATCCAAAGAAATGGCTGAAGATTTCCTTTTTTTGATTAATAAATCCTGAAATTCCACAACAGCATCTCTGAAGACAAAGCATGGGCTTTGATTAATTAGTTGCTGATAAAATCTGCCACATAAACGTTATTTTTTTCTTATGAAAGTCTAAATACCTTAAAAGAAACAAAAGCATTCCAGGGCTTCAGGGATGAGCAATACAATACCGCTGCACGCAATCTGGTTTGCATTTGAAAAGACGCCAGCAGCGCACTGGGCCAGTTTCGGGGACAAAAGAAAATTATGTAACACCACACAATCTGGGCTCTCTTTACAAGGCAGCAGGCCTGGCTGAAATACGCAGGCATCAATAGGTGTTGTCTGTCAGATGAGAGTAGCCACCAGACAGTCATTCGTGTGGGTGGAAACGTCTAGTATATGAAGCTATGAATTTTTGAAGAATTTTGAAAACTCAAAATCTTGAAAATCCCCTGGGAATACGTCATGCAACTTCAAATTAAACCCGGCAGCATATGGTTAACAGCAATGACATGGGTGCCAGAAGGTATGGGAAATCCAAACCTGACTCTAGTCAAACCCATCAAAGCCCTCCCTGCAGGACAGAGGTCTACGGTTGTCTTCCCACTTTGCTTTACTTACACTTTCCACTCTTGTTTGGTGTGCTTCTTGCTGGAGCCATTCATTCTCTTTGCGACTGGTGATAAATATCTCATTAAGAACCACTGTTCAGAATGTTTGGCAACAACCTACATAAAATTAATGCGGCGTAGCACTTGTGAAATCCTTCCCCGTTATTCTGTTGACCATATACTTCAAAAGGTTAAGTACACTATAAAGCTATAAAACTCATGATTTATATTTTTGAATACTTCACATTCAAACTGCATAAATGCAGCAAAAATTCACTCAGGTATTTCATTCAAATAAAATTTGCTGAGGTCAAGAAATCTGGATCTGAATGGTTTTCTCAGGGCTGGAGCAATGAGCTTCCATGAACCTAAAACCAGAGAGGGCGCAACACATCACGCTAAATGGGAAATGCAAAGATAGTGGCAGTTTCCATAGAAAAATTCACTTTTTAAGTGATTTGATGAGAGGTGGTAAATTTGACTGGACTAAACTTGTAATAATTTGAAATCTCAAGGATACAGTTCCTCTACTTTCTTCTTGATGCTTGCCAGTTGTTCAGTCAGTGAATCCAACCTAGTCAAAAATAAAAAATGAGAGCACAGTTGACATTTGGAGAGAAAACAAGAAATACTGCAGAACCCTGCAGAATACAGATAAACTGATCAATTAAAGCTAAGAAGTCAGTCCAGTAAAAGGAAATCTGCAAAACTTATGCTCAACTCAACAAAATGCACAAGTCTATTTAAATGTAGGCTACTGGCTACAGAACACATACATATCTTGAAATCTGCTATCCATCATTTAAGGGCAGACTATTTGATGTTCTAAAGTTTTGACGAGTTCTGTGTGCTCTATGAAAACCCCACTCAGATTTGCGCATTTGAGAAATGATTCGTAGGTCTATGTGCTAGTTTTGAACTTTTGATAGGCCCCAGGTCTGTAATTTCATTTTAAAAATTCTGTTTTTATTGTGATGGGCACATGCCACTATTTTTCTGTGAAAATATGTAGCAGCATGGAAATTACTGACAGAATTCTGAATGTTCTGCACATAATGGGGGAATAATAAGGCAGCAAAGGTGATATTCATGTAGGCCTAGACCCAAATCTGTGAAGTAAATTGAACTGATCAATGACATCATTACAGGCCTGCTGAATTATGTGAAAAACATCTGGCATTAGGGAATTGATGTATTTACACCAGGCCTATACATAGTAGGACTAATACATGAACTAGGAAAATGAAAACTTCCTCATAACCAGGTGTCCATCACCTGCATAAG